AATGCATGTGGCAGCGCTCTGAAAATACTAAATCTATTCTCGAGTAATAATGCTTGTTCAGTTACTATACCCGCGATGAGGCCGAGAACGCTGTACGTTTCCTGAACCGTACAATCCTAGATGGCAGAACAATTAGAGTGGATTTCGAAACAGGTTTCGTGGAAGGACGCCAGTATGGTCGTGGAAAGCACGGTGGACAGGTGATTTGCTCAATACACTGCTCTTTGAAAATAATTTCTGGTTGATGGTCAGGTACGCGACGAGTATCGCGAGAACTTTGATCGCGGTCGCGATGGATACGGAAGAGAAAGGAAGGAATGGGAGGATAGGGACTGACTGAACTTCGCTTTCCACTGCAGAGTACCCGCAGAAAGTATATGCCTGTTAATGGATAATTAAAATGTTACTTGTTATCTTAGGTTTCGCTCCGCTTGCTGAAGGTGGCAAAGTTTAGTTTCTTGCTTCTGTTCAGCCTTCCAGGTTTGATATGGTGGAACACTTTATTGGTCGACGTCGAACAAATTTGTTCGAAACGTCGAATAATAATCGGAGTGCCCATGGTTTCCAAGAGACCGGATGGAACATACAAAGTTATAGTATCACGACGTAAGCAAACCAGCCCTTTTGGCGCTTCGGCTGGGACCGTATGCTGAATGTTGGGGAGGGGATGGAGTCCCCGACGGTGGACGGACCACTTCAACTCGGTCCTTAGAACCGCCACAATTTGGTGCTTACCTCAGAACTAAGCCTTAAAGAGAGGACGGGTCCGTCCCTCTCCAAGGCTTAGTCCTGGGGTGAGCAAACCAGCCCTTCTGGCGGAGCTGCTGGACCAGCTGCACCACTTGCGTCAGTACTCTCCTATCGTACCAACCGAGTTGAAGTAAACCGTCGACCGTTGGGGACCCCATCCCCTCCCCAACATTCAGCATACGGTCCCAGCCGAAACGCCAAAAGGGCTGGTTTGCTTAAGAGTGGTATCAGCTTCTTTGAGTTGTCTTTGTGACCCTTGTGACTCTTCGGTTTTCCCACGTAGTTGAGTGATTCTTGTTGTATGAATGAAATTTTGTTCGAGTGTTCATGTGTTGGGAACGCGTTTGCGAAGAAGCGAGTTAACGGAACTGTTAGATCAAATGCAGCTATCAGTTCCGCCAATAACACAAAATCCGTTTCACTTGTACAGAAAATTACCCGAAACGGGTGCATATCCTTTGTGTAGAAGGAGAAAGATGCCGTGACTGCGTTGATACAGGAGCCTTTGCTTAATCCAACCTACGTTTGCCTTCACTCCAACAAAATTTTGCTGCACGTATTCGCTGTCGGTTAGAGTCAGCGGTCATTTTTTTCCTGTTCGCGACCTGCTTGTCGAGCGATTTGCTCATATAGCACGCCAGTTACTTCTGATTAACCCTTTGACTACTGGTGGATACACATGTGTACCACTTCCGTAGTCAAAGGCACTACCACAGTTTTAGGACTTATTCAGACTGGAGTGCCCACTTGATGGCAAAATTGTGCACATATAGAAATGCTAGAAATCCTACCTGAAATCGAATTGTAAAAAAAAACAAAGCGAGAACTGAATAAATTAGAAGAGCATATTGTACCGTACATCATTGGTCGGTATACACAGCTCCCAAAAAGATAATTCGTTTCCGTTCATTTAAGGTTCGAGTCAACAAAAGTTTTTCTAGGCTCAGGTCAGCCCTAGCGGGGTTCCTCAAGGGTGCGTCTTATCACCGTGTTGTTTTCTATATTCACCTATGACCTCCCACATGTAGTCGAGGAAATAGGAATAAGATGTAAAATTGTTTGCTGACGACGTAAAAATTTACAGGTCATTGGGAGCGGAAACGGATTCTCTGTTGATTCAAAAAGCTATTGATGCAGTTGTCGCCTGGTCCGAAATGTGGGAGTTACCATTAGCGCCTGAGAAACATCTGTTTTGCATTAGGCAAAGGTCGGCCCAGCCACAATTACTACATGGGCGGTGTTGAGCTTAACAGAGTTGACGAAGTTAGAGATCTAGGTTTTATAGTTGATGGGAGACTCCGCTTCGACTCCCATTGTAGGAGTATAGCCAACAAAGCAGAATCCAGGCTCTTTCTACTGCCTAGAGGTCTCCAGCTCAAGAAAAATATGCACAAGTACTACGCTTAGGGCTATGTTATTTTTTTACTTTTTTATTGACCATATCTTTTTGGGGCATTGGTCATCTTCTCTATTTGCTCTTTTTCTGTCGCTTTTTATGATGATTTTGTGACGCAGTTGTGTTGTGTTGTGTTATCTAATGTTTTATGGTTTGCTTAACTCATTCCATGTGCTCATGCGCATGCAATAAATCCAAATCTAAATCTAAATCTAATTCCCAACGCTCATACATTCTTAATAGTTGTGCTAGTGATTTTGGTGTCCCCTGCATTTGTATCAGGTACAACATACACCAACAAGCGAAGAATATGGAGCATCTTATCAGCCGAGCCGGACAGATGGCTACGTGGCGTTCCACGACAGTGTTGGAGATTCCACCTCCAATGATTCTGACAGTTCGTGTAGTGCGGAATTGAAACTAGAAGTCTTCTATGGCGACATGGATTTCGAAGCGGTAGAAGAAGACCAAAACTTGTTATAGCAGAATCACCCGGTCAAACCCGCAGAGCTTCTACAGTAAGGCTTGAAATTCTGTCTATGTGTGGTCGCTAGCGGACGTTGACATCGTTCCATGAATGAGATATGGAAATTGTGTATTCGTAATGGATAACTACGTTACCAGTTTACATTCTAAACAAATTCATTCAGGCTCCTGCTTCTCGGCCTCGTCCTCCATGACGTCGAAAGCGCTTGATGGACGACCCTCAGACTCTCCCGAAACAGGCTCGAATGGAGATCCTTCCCGCAATTCTGAGCGTTGGTTCAACATCATCATGTCTTTCCATTATGGTTCTCAAGCCCTTTTTATCCTGCAACATTTGGGCAGAGCTGCCCCTCTGCTCAAATGATACTTCAAATTTTTGGCCACCGGGACCTGAGAACCACCGCACTGCTCAAGAAGAGATGCGGCTTCCGCCAAAGTTCTCTTCCTAGCAGTACTACCTGTACTGTATTCACGAGCGAAACTCGTGACACCCACTACAGCACGCGAAAAAACGCCGACAGAGACGAGATGCTACCACTGGGCCTCGATCCAGCAATTGTGTTCCACCGGCTTGGCCACCAAGTTCGCAAGGTACTAGTGTGGAGAACACAGGCTGGATCAAAGCACAGTGGTTAAAAACAAGTTTTATCAAAAAAACAAAACGGGCAAATTCGTGCTATCGCACCACACAGCGACACAAAAAATCAAAACCTGAAATCAAATCCTCTTATGCAATTGCAATCATTCCTAAAAAAAAGGACATCGAAGTTCTGGGAGTTTTCGCTGCAATAGTGTACTGCCGCACTGACCTAGTAATTTGCCCGAGTCAACTAGTTCAGTCATGTGTGATGGCAGCTGCGAGATACCGTAACCTTGCACGTGATTGCTCCATTCTCTCAAGGGCGGAGACTAGGCGCGTCTAAACATGTTGACTGCGACAAGAATTCGCTTTCGGTAATGGGCGCAATTT